AAGGCGATCAAATTCAAAGACGTACATTGTTGGCCTTTGTTGAAACCGAAGTTGGGACGCCTACAGATAAAAAATTGAAGTGGTGGTATGCCCCACCACTGAAGCCGTCTACATTTGGAGGAGTTTTTACACACCGCCTGAAAACATTTTTTTCTTCTGAGAAGATGCATTCGTCTGAAAACGGGTGTCGATAGAAGAAATGGACGAAAACACTGGAGGAGGTGGCGGCAGTGGTAATGGCGCAAAGCCCATTGGAGCCCCGTCGAACGCATTGCGCTCGATAGGCGTCATACAGTTTGTTCCCGGAGTTCCTAATGTTGGAAAATCCGGATAACACCGAAAACTAGCGGATTCAGCAGAGCACAAATTGCAATTAGTTGCAGCAACTGCTGAGGATGGGGGCTGAAACCTCAATAAAGAAGTGCCTTTGACACGATATCGAAGCAGTGGCGCCCCACGGGCAGGGTGTTGCGGCATATCCATCAGGTTCATACAAGAATCCCTATTGAAATGCTTGTTGGAGTCCTGCCAATTCACTCCATATACGGAATTTGCAAATCGTAAAGAATCATTTTGAGTCTTTGAAGAAACTGTAGTCAGCATTGGCCCCGGCGTTGGCGCAACGGATAATGAATTCGTCAGCATATTCAGTTGCCGTTGCGGCTGTTGGTGTGGGTAAAAGTTCCGTTGGCTCGAAACTGCCAAAGCAGGTGTAAAAGCGTGTACCTCGCCAATGGTTCCGCGTGAGTTCGAACCGCCCTCATCACGCTCATCTCCGCTTTTTTGCGCAGGGTCTTGAAGAGCAAGGAGATATGGCGACTCACAAAGCTGGCTTAAATATGATGCACAAAAAAAAGATGGAATAGAGCATCGTTTGCATCGTACCTGCCGTGGAGTCACTGATAAGGACGAGCACTCCGAATTGTGCTTCCGAAGCACCATCAAAGTATGTCCAAAGAGTTCCTTCAACACACTGTTGATAGCATCAAAACGATTTCTTTGCTCCGTCGCCACCCGCACGGGATCTGAGACAACGCCTATGCTTTCACACGTCCTATATGATCTCTCAAAGCTGACATCACTGTATTGACTATTCGCAGCCAAAGAGGATAAGGATGCGTCACCAAGTACAATGGATCCCTTTTCAAACAGAGCAAGGCCCTCTCGAAAAGCGCGGCGAATACGTTGCAAGTGATTGCGACTAACCCCACGGCAGAGACTGGCACTCCATCGTAACGGATCCATCACATTCATTGTACGGAGGGAGAAGTGACTAGTATCAAAGTTGGAGCAAAACAAAGTAGCGTCTTCCTGCACGCCTCCACCAGAATCAAGGCGCATCTGCTCTGTCTCTTCCGGAATATTCTCCATATTATTGAAGCCTGCATCCGTCCCCCCCATTTCCCGGTGCAATCCAATTGAATTCTTTCGTTCATCCTGACGACGGATATGTTCATCACGCAAAATGTGTTTCACCCAATTTACTGTTATAAGTGGCTTAGCGCGACGACGAATGCAGTGCCCCAGCTCCCTCTGTCCCTCTGCAGTAAGACCCAACATACTCATTCCCATGGGATCCTTAAAATCACTCTCCTCTTCCCCACCCATCGAAGAGTTGGGAATGGCGCCTAAATTTCCCCTTTTTCCCGCCAAAGCCTCTAGCTGACTGAGATCAAACGGCTTTCCATCAAGGCAATCGCATGGGAGTGGGCCAAAAATCGTGACACAGTAATGCTCAAAATCAAAAAAACTAAAAAACTTCAGGAAACGCGCAAAAAGTTGAAGCGGTGAAATGTTTTTGAAGAACTCTTGTGGTTCACACCCCAAATGCCCCTCGCCGTCCTCCTCCCTTTCCTCCACTGAGCCAACGTCTTCGACAAACTCCACGGTGTTCATCATCGCTATGAGCATAATGGTGGCCGCATAGGAAGAAAGGTACCCACCTTGTCCACTAAGTATGTGCGCCTCGTAGCAACACCAAGCCTTCAACAACAACAGTGTTCGTTTTAAAAGATGCTGACAGCCTATCAACATATCCATTTCCTGCAAAAAACGAACACACACAACACCGCCCAGCTGGCCAACAGTAATATCAAAGCAGCCGCCTTCCATAACAAGCTTCAAGACACGAACCTCCGCAACTACAAGGGCTTCAACGTAGACATGAGGGTTGTTTTCACGCAAGTACTCGGCCAAACTTGAAAGAAGCTCTCCACCTGCAATTGCAGCTGCTTGAGATAATGACATATTATTATTATTATTATTATTAGTATTAGTATTATTATTAGTATTAGTATTAGTATTATTATTATTATCATGATTATTATTATCATTATTATTATTGCGAATGCTACCGCTTCTGCTCATAATTGCACGAGCATGAGAGTTAACAGGGGCCTCCTCTCGCTCAATGATCTTGGTCGGATTTACAAGTCCCTCAACATCAAATGTCATATCATTATCACCGTCTGGTAAAACAGTATACGTCGCAACACTTCCAAATACGTAATATCGCAACTCGCCGTATTGCAAACCTTTACGCCACGCCTCATGAGCAATAGCCTCCGTAAGATACTCAGATACGCAACGTAATTGCTTCTGCCGTCGCCACATCATTTTTTCCGCCGTTTGAGAAAGGTACGCCACGATTTGTTCATCCACAAGTTGACTAAGGGAGGAGCTCACCTCTGGTGTAAAGCTGTAACTGCGATGATGATGCTGATGGCACGTGGGCGGCTCAGAGAGAGAAGAGATTGACCTACCATTAAATTCATACATTGCATTGCCATTTTTTATGGCGGTGGATGTGACGCCGTGTTGCTGCTGATTTCCCCATAAGGAAAACGAATCCCCCCCATCTCTATCCCCTCTTCCCATAGTTGTAGGTGCAAACGTTGTTACTAAACTCGTCTGCGATTCTGCAAGCACAGAGCCAGATAACTGTAGGCTCTTTGGCAATTGCCCTATTCTTTCCTGCGGCGCCGGTAAATGGTCACCGGAAGGTATCTCTTCGCTCAGTATGTGATTTTTTTTTTGATTTTCTTCCTCATATTCATTCTGCTGCTCTGGTTGCTTCTTCTCTCTGTGCAACAATGTCGATACCGCCTCGGTATCACAATACTCCCCCATGGGAATTACTACAGGAGCGGGCATCAGCTCACCTGTAGTCCTATTCCCTTGATTCCTTTTGGTAAGAGATGGTGGAAACCTTTCTGTTTCCTCTTTAATCAATATATTTCTGGAAAAACAGTCTTCCGATGGTTTTATTTTCTCATCAATACACATGTAACCACAAAATGAGCATTCACGAACTTCAGGGAATGCATTATTAGTTGCACATGGCGCCTCGTCAATGAGGTTGCCTTCCTCAGAGAGTGAAACGCAGTGTTTCTCTTTCGGAAACGAATGCGGAGAAACGAGGCGGCAACTGCCGTTGAGAGGCATCCCATCGCCCGCCATAATTCTGCCGCTGCCATCGGTTTGACTCTCAAAGCATTCACCTAAAATTTTATCTTTCTCCAGCGACTGGGAACACAGTTGCAGGCTGATCGAGCCCTCCAAAGGAGGTGCTTCCTCAAGCATGAAATCCTTGGGAGGGTGAGCGTTCCGGATCTTCCTCGGCATCATCATGGGATTCTTTCGTCGGGTCTGTTGGCGCCGACAAAAACGATGGCACTGAGCTTCGTCGTTGATGTCCGTAAACCCAGTACTGCTCTTCGCTGGGAAGTTTTCTAAAGAGAGTTCCGTGGGAGGAATTCCATACGACACACGTGGGGGCTCCACAACAGGCTCCGTTCCTTCTCTTCGGTTAATTTTGCCCCCCGCTGTTAGGTGTGGTTTTCCCATTTCTTTCGTCGATGGTGTCCGCCGTGTCGCAGTGAAGGGGTGGTTGGTGCAGACCCGAAAACACGGCAAATATCCGCCGCCGAGGGTACTAGTCGGGGAGTAAAGCCAAAGCGATTGGTTCCTTTGCTTCTGCGGTCGGCCAATGAGACAGACCGGAGAAAAGAAAAAAAAAAGAAAAAATATATTTAAAAAAGTTATTAGAGATTGCCCGCGCAAATTACAGGCTGAAAAAAGTAGCAACGCCACAACCGATTCCTATTCGCTGTGTTGCAGCACAACAGCATGAGAAGAGAGGTCAAAAAAAATAATAATAATGACAACAAAAACAACAGAAGCCTAAAAGAGGGCAATACGACGGTGATGCTCCCGTAGAAATTTATATATATATATACTTTCTCTTCTTTTGGCTTCAATGGCAGTCATAAACACACGAAGTAAAGAAATTCCGTCTCGGCGCAGTGAAAACAAAACAACAACAAAAAAAAACTGTACAAAACAAAAACCTCGAGTCTACACACAATGAAAATAAGAATGCCCTCCTTCTTATTTCCCCACTTCCCCTTCTGTCTCTCCCTGGAAAGAGCATGCATACATTTGTATGCAGATGCGCACGTCACACCGCTTCATGGCTGTGTGTCTTTTTTTTTCTTTGTTTTTTACTCTTCCTCCCCACACACACACACACACACTTTCTCTCTCTCTCTCTATATATATATATATATATATATGTTTCGGGAACATGCACACGGAGGGACCAGTGTATTACATCAAATTCTTCATCTTCTCCAGTACTTCTGGGTGCTTCTGGGTGATCAGCCGCATATCATCTCGTCGAATACGACCATCTTTGCGCACGTCCAAAAAGAACATCAGTCTTTGCGCTTCCTCATCAATGACACGTTGTACCTCCTGGTCTTCAACATCGCAATCACCAACGTAACGTGTTGCCGCAGTGATAGTGTTTCTTATGTCATCAAGAGAAAGATAGCCATCCTGATCGTCGTCATACGCGTTGAAAACAACAACAAAAAGCTCCTCGGTGCTGTACATCACCGCCAAATGATAAAGCAAGAACTCCCTAAAGGAAATCACACCATCGCAATCGCGATCGTAGGCACGAAAAAGATGCAAGTACATCTCTCTGTCCAATACCTGCGCCGATGTCTTCCTCACGGCACGATTGCCGCCCTTACTATGAGTGTACTTCGCGTAACTAGGGAACCAGGAGGCCAGGTGGGTTCGTCTGTAATTTTTATACACACCCGTACTGTCTATGTAGCGCTTGAATTCGACGGGAGTCATGACACCCTCCGGCGCTGCCTTGTGGAATTTCATGAACAGAAACTCGATGGCCTCCTCAGAGAAGCGATCCTTTACGAGTTCCTTGTATTCCTCCATTTGAGCACGTGAAAAACCTTGTCCCATCGTTACTCCCCCTTTTTTTTTTAATCACTCTTCTTGCTGTTTGGCTACAGTCTGTAGGCCGAAAAGAGAGTATGTGCCCTATAAAAGTATCAGTCTTCCCTTCAATAAACCACAGTAGAAGTGTGTACGCAATGGGAAAGCACAAAAATATTCCCCTTCGCGAAAGCAAAAAATAAACGCATCACATCCTCACGACAGCTCCATTTCAGCATGTGTGTTCTCTTCAACTCAATTCTTTTGTTTTTTCCGCCGCCACAGGAAGCGTGCACCGTGGCCGCGACCCCTCACTCTCGCTGTATATACTCTCTTTCCGTTGCACACCATATATTTCAATCCCGTGCATATCCCCAGTCACATTCCCACATCCAACCTTCTCCAGGTAAAAAAAGCAACGCTGCTAAACATAGCTTCAAGAATGGGTGCTCACAATGTCTCCTCTTCTGTAAAGATCACACTGATGAAGGAATTTGACGATGCCCCTTGACTCATACATTTGCCGTTAGCGTCATAAAAAGTGGGGCAAAAACCCCCTTGATGTCTCCTCTGGCAGCCCCCAAAGTGACGGGGGTGGCCACGCCAAAAAAAGAAACCGTCTCTCGCCATGTGGAGCAGCTGTCGACTCCCTCCCCAAACTTAGCCGCAAGAGGCAATGCGCCCCATTGTGAAGTTGCGAACGCATTCATGTGTGCATTTATTCAAGTGCGGACACAGCCCTTCCCTGGACGCCAAAAAGAAAAACGCCCGCTGCTTGTTGAAATGCGGTGGCAGAGAACCCACGGTAGGCGCCCCCAACTTTCGCCGTCCCCCGTTCACGGCGAATGGGACCCAAATCAAAGGCGCACTCGAACAAAAAAAAAAAAAAAAGCGGCAAAAAAAATCACAACAAACAGCATTCGATGGCAAAAAAAAAAAAAAAAGGGTGGCGCAGTGAGCTCCTCAGTTTATTCAGTGGAAAAAAAAGGGAACAAAACAAAACAAAAAAAAAGGACAACAAAAAAAACTTTTTAATGTACAAAAGCCACCTACTGTCGGGTTTTCCTTCACATTCTGTCTGGAGGGTAGAGTAATTAAACAAACTCAAAAAGATAAGCAGTCAACAAATTTCGTACATTAGAAAAGGAATAAAACAACCACAACCACAAATAGCAACAACAAGAAAAAAAAAAATGTGATCGCACACGCACAACTGTAAGTCACCTCCCTTTTTTTTTTTGTGTGTGTGTATGTCTTCTGCAAGCACAGCTGAGAAAAAAAAAAAAAAAATTAAGCATCTCGCACTGAAAAGAGTAGCGGTCCTGAATGCTTCCGTCCGTGCAGGTTTGCTTCAAATAATTTGGGAGATAAGGAAGCGTAAATTCTAATTGGAATGGGGTGGCATTCTGCCCTAACGCAAAGTTGCAAATGTTAGACAATGAGGAGACAGCAATTTAGGGTTTACGGCGGAGTGGCCCTGAGGCGCTTGGGTTTGTTGGACCTCCAGCGCCTGGCTTTCCCTCCCCAGCCACAGGAGCCGCAGCGGCGATCGTTAAAGGAGGCCGACGCAGTAAACCCCACACACACTCCCTACAAATATGCCATTCCCACCGATTTATGTTAAGAAAAAAAAAAAAAAGCAAGAAAAAAAATTTACTGCCACGACCCGCAGTGACGGCTGCCACCGTTGCTGACGGTGGCGTCTTTGTCACGTAAAGCACCACAACGAAGATCCAAGCTGCTTCGTGCCGCCGTATCAATGCCCTCCTCCCCTAAAAACTCCACACCGCACGGCAAATTCTCAGCAAAGCCACCCCGTTCCCTACCCGGAGAAACAGGCAAAGACGCCGCACGCATAGCCCGTTGCAGGTGCCGAATTTCAACCTGCAACGCTGCAATAGTGGCCTCTTTTGCCCGCCGTTCCGCAAGTCTCGTCTGCTTCACCTCCTTGAGATGGTTCGCATGTCGCTCAGATGCACGTTGCTTGATCAAATTTAGGACTTCGCTCAGCTCATCCTTTTCTAACGCATGACGATCTCTCCACTCATGCAGTTCAAGCAACAGAAGCGCACGCGCTGATTCTTCTTCATTTATTAGAAGAGTCCGTTCAACGATTAACGCGCCCTCCATCAATCCATTTTCCATCAATTCTTGAAGGATTCCGTAATGCACACGACAATAATCACGAAACTCCTTAATTAACTGAAGTCTATTTACATGTTCCTGTCTTTGAACCTCAATCAGAGCAAACGTCATGTCCTCCGTAAAACGCAACGCCTCGAATTCCATGCAATAAGTGCACATAATTTCTTTTTGTTCCCGCATAAAAATTACCTGTTGTATTTCTTTATGATGTGATTTTAACTGTTTCCACGACAAATTCTCGTTCATTCGGCAGCTAGCACGACCCCACGACTCCTTCTTTTGCAGAGACAAAAGCTCAAATTGTTCCTCTTGCAACGACAGCAAAACTTCTCTATTAGCCTCCTCCTTTTCAACCGTCCTACGGAGGCCTGACCGCAGTACACAATTTCTTATATTCAATTTGTGTTCCATCCATATTCTTCGGCGTTCCAGTTTTTCCTGTGGCTCAACTAATTGTTCCCGTTCACTCTTCTCATCCAAAAACAATATCCGCCGTAAATTTTCTCGTTCGCGGCGTTCCACCGCCTCTAACTCTCGCTCCTTCAACCGTGCCTCTCGCATACGCTGTCTCATCAGCCGTTCCAAATATTTTTCCTGCTCTGCTCGCCGCACTTCCGCTTGTCTTTCCTTCTCTTGACGCAGGCGCTCCCCTCGATCTTCTTTTGCGCCACAAAACGGGCGTCGGGGACGCGGTGATGGGATAGGACGCACGGTGTCCGGTAAGACTGCCGCCGAGTGAATATCACGCGCCAAAAAAATTTTTGGAACCTCTTTATTTGTCCCCCCTTGCGGCGTGTTTTCGGAGGCTGTACGAGGAAAAGGAGAGGCACGCCGAATTCCAGCGGACGCACATGCTCGACGATTTTCATTCCCTGTACGGAGCTGCTGTGACCGTTGTAGAATTTCTTCACGTCTCTCTTGTTCTCGACGCAAAGCCTCTAGATCGCGCGCAAGTTGCTCTCGTTTCTCCTGTTCTCTCCGTTTGCGAATGTTCGCCTGATGTTCCTTTTCTCGTTTTCTAAAGAACTCCTTTTGTTCCTTTGTGTACTGAGAAGCACGGTCTCCCCGCGGGGTGGCGGCGGAAGAGGCCCGTCGCTGACGTTCCCCCGCCTTTCGTGCCGCGTAGGAATTAAGCTCCTCGTAAATATTACTCGTTGCGTTTCCAGGCATCGTATAAGACTTGCAGCCAAAATCCGAGGTATACCCGGCCCGTGGCGTCCGAATTCCCGTCGAAAATGAATTGGCGCCCAGTGGTTGATGCAAACGAAGGGTGCAGTCATATTTTTGCTTCCGCTCCAAACTCGAAAGGATTTCGTATGCCACACGAACATCGCGAAATTTCTCCGCCGCTGACGGATCGTTGAGATTTTTGTCGGGATGGTACTTGAGAGCCAACGCCTTGTACGCCTGGCGCACCTCCTCTATGCTGCTAAAATTTGGGAGCAGCAGCGTTTGGTAGAGACGTCTCGACTTTTCAAGCTCCCCAGTCATTTCGCTCCGGCGCAAATCACCCCGTTTCCCTTGTAATCCTCCCCGCCCCTTCACGGCCCTCGCCCCTCTCTTCCGTCCGCACTTTTCTTTGGATGGCTTTGCCTCCGCGTCTCGCCTGCCCTTTTTCTTCCTGCACTTCTCGCAGCAGCACGAGGCGTCACAAGCAATGAACTTACAACCTCAGATGCAAAAAAAAAAAAGTGAGAAAAAGAGAAAGAAACCAAAAAAAAAAAAAAAAAACATAATATCTAGCGGTGATGACACCTCGGCCTTTCGCCCACACACACAGAGGGAGAGTGAGTGAGTGAGTGAAAGAGAAGTTCGTCCCCCCTTTCACGACGAACAACGCTGTCAGTCGCATTTGTGTGTGTGTGTTTGTGGAGGGGGGGGGTATATGTTTCTGCCTCCTTCATCGTTTCTTCATGCCGCCATTTTCACGCATGTACACCACAAAAAACCACGCAGTTCCACACACACACACAGAGAAAAAAAAAGGGAAAAAAAAGAAAAAAAAAACAATGCTAACAAACTCCACAATTAATGCATTCAACGCAGTAACAAAATAAAATATTGAGAGAGTCACACATCAAACAAGAAGATTAAAAGAAAAAAAAAAAAAAAGAAGGAAAAGAGAAGCAAAACCAAAAAATACGCATTCGGAATAAGTGAAATAGCAGACAAGTGGTGTACCGTCTTAAAATATTCCCTCCACCCCATTTTTCATTCGCTGCCGTCCAGCACACACACACACACACACTCAGAGAGAGAGAGAGAAAGAGAGAGAACAAAAAGAAAAAAAAAAAAAAAAAAAGGTACATACATAAATAAATCACAAGCACGCAAATGGCTTCTCTGCATCAGTCAACAATATTTTCTGCGCACCAACTCTCTAATCCTCGTTGCGGTGCAGTTTTTTTTTTTTTCTTTTTGTCCCCCTGCTCACATTTCATCGCCATACGAAACGTCTGCTTTGGTTTCCATTTCTCCACGCGATGACGGTGACGCCAAATGCACGCTCACACAAAATCAAACAACCACGAGGCCCCTCCTTCACTCCACAAGGCACAGGCGTCTCGTAGCTCAACACAAGGACCTTCTTGCCCGCAAATCCCCTTCTCCCGTTGGGGGGGGAACGGAATGAATGCGCCAGTGACGAGTGTTGCTGCTGTTTTGTTGCTTTTGTTTCATTATTATTATTATTATCATTTTCTTTGTTTTTGTCGTTCGTCCCCACCCCTCCACTGTCCGCCACCCTCTGCAGCCGGCGGTACGCCCCACGCCGCTCCCCCTTCACTCCACCTCCCATTCCCCCGTCCAACGCGTGCATACAAGAAAAGGGATGCGTACAAAGACAAAAAAAAAAAAAAAACAACCACAAACCGTGCAATTGAATGTACAGACACGTGCGCGTGCGTGCCAACAACAACAACAAAAAAAAAAAAGTCGTCCCGTAATTGCGAGAATACAATCCGCGTGGCCAATCGACGTTGGCGCACAAAAAAAAAAAAAAAAAAAAAGTAACAACAGAACACACAAAATGCACAGACACGGTGGTTACGTGTAAGTAATTCAACGAAAAACGTCACACAAAACCCCCTTTTCCTCCATCCTTCCATCGCATACAAACACATGCAAAAACAAACCAACAAGAAAAGAATGCGTCCACCATACAAAAAAAGAAAAAATATCTGCCAGCACCCTCTCCCTCTCGGATGAAATCTGCGCGTACACAACAACATTGAATACATTATAAGCACAGAAATGTATACAAATATATTTATATGTGCATGTACACATGTATACGACTCTGTTTACTAATTTGGAGTCATCCTCCTGATTTTTTCCCCCTCCTTCACCCACAGCGGTAAGAATTCACAAAAGGAAGTCGGAACACTTTCTTTTTCTCTCTTTTTTTTTTTTTTTTTTTTTAATTGCTGTTGTTGTTGTTTTTATTACCATTCGCCGTTGCCTTCAATTTTTTTATTTTTTTATTTTTTTTTTTCCATTTATTTATTCACGCTCTTTTGGGACGCAAGAAAACCCCATCCACCCAAAAAAATAAATAAAATAAATAAATAAATAAATTCAGCCATTGTCGCGCATTGGAGTAAAACAAAACAAAAGAAAAAAAAAAAAAAAAAAAAGACAAACAGATGAAGAGAAGGAAATATAAAAATACATACAATCAAAATCAAAAGCAAAGAAAAGAATAATCAATCCAAAGAAATAAGTAACATAATTGACATCTACGCATCAATGCCAGATCTCCTTCCCAGAAGATTTCACTATTTTGTACCGTCATGCCATTTTTTCTTTTCTTTTTTTTTTTTTTTTTCCTTCCTTTTTTGTTTGTATAGTCTCTCTCCCACCAGATGCAAATACAGATATAAACATAGTCATACATGTATTCATATCTATATAAAAATCAATAAATAAATATATTTATATGTGGACGCGTTGATGTGGAGCAAATTACCCCTTCATTTCTTCCTATTTTTTCCCCCCCCTCCCCTCCCCTTCTCTTCCCCTTCGCATTATTACTTCACTTCGTAACTTTCGCAACACACATTCACACACTCGCACACAGAGAGGAAAACAAAAACACACAAAAAAGAAAAAAAAAAAAAAACCGTTGCCGTTATTATTGCTGTCAACTAACAAATATCCCCTTCTCTTCCGTAAGGCATACAAACACACAGACAGGGAGAGAGAGAGAGAAAGAGAGAAAAGAATATGCATATAAATGCATATATATATATATA